GGTGCAGCTTCCGGATGACGCGTCCCGCCTGCGGGCTGGCAGTTTGATACCCCTGCTCTAAATGATCAGGCCAGTTAGACCCAGCAACAATTGGGAGAAAAATATAGGTAGCAAATATCCAGGTGGTAAAGAAGACATGCAAAGACAGGCCTTTGTGAAAGGCAACAGGGAATGAGGAAAAAGAATCTCAGCCACACCAAATTAACAAAAATATGAAGTGTTACCTAGATTCTTAAACTACTTCTACACTTCAAAAACATTATTTACCAGCAACTTTCAATTTTACTTTTCATATAAAATGTACAGGGAACAATAATTCTGATTCTACAATCCCAAACTCTTTGTTACAGTCCACATTCTTATTTATGAAATTTATTCCCCCCCCATCTCGCATGAGACGATTCTGGGACGCTTAGAACAATTCTTGCTTTATCCTATGGACTCACAATTTTCTTCAATCTCTTGACAGCAAATTTCAGGGGATCATAGATATGCTTTGCTTCTTAGCCTATAAAATAGTTAAAATTCATTTTATTCAATTTATATGGCTGCCCATCTCAAACCAGTGATTCATGAGTGGCTGACCATAATTAAAAAAACCCACCATAAAACACCAAAATGTACAAAATAGACAATCAGCAGCCAGGATAAAGAATAACCACCAATTCAATTATTTTAAATGTCCCAAGCAACACTTCAACCCCCATATTGGGGACATAGCTACATCTTCCAGGCCTTGTGAAAGGCCAAAATAGTTGGGGCCAATCTGATTTCTGGAGATAATGCACAAGGCAGGTGACATAGCAGAAAAGGCTTTCTTCCTGGGTCTTGACAGATTAGTAGATTTTTGGTTAAAAGTATTTCCTCCCCAAAGAATTCATATGAGACTAAAATCAGAGGATACTTAACTACCTTATAATGAATCAATGAGATAAGATGTGAGTCTTCAACCCTTAATATTATTTTTTGGTATCAAACACAGAAGATGCACAAGCTTACACTGAGATTATGTCAAAAGTAAAGCTATTAGGAAGAGAAAACTCAAGGTAAACTATTTTTTTTTAAAAAAATCTGTTATTAAATTAATGCGTAAGGGTAAGCAATTTAACGAAATCTAAGATGAAGTTTTAGGCTCATTTCTTACTATTAATACATTTCATATATTGTTAGATTAACATTCCATTTTACAAAAATTTTGTGTTTTATGAAAAAACATTAACAAATAAATTCATATTGATTTATAATGCATGTTTATCTTCTTTCTGAGTAGTAGCAAATATATTTTATGGTTTTATCAAGCAAAAATGTACGTTTACTAGGAAAATCTTCCTGACTAGCAATTTACATAAATTTGACCTTCTTCTTGGGAATTCTATTGATCTCTAAATCTTCTTTTACAAAAGAAAAAAGGTCACTTTATCTCATGAGTCCAAGTACATTCCCAAATGTTTCAATTTATCTTGTCATACTTACATATCCAGCATTATGCAAACTGTAGAAAAGCAGTTAAGAAGTCATTATTCTTGTTCAGTTCCCACCCATAACCAATGCCTACGTGTTGTGCCATATACCAGTGGTGGTGAATCTATGGTACGGGTGCCAGAGGCGACACTCAGAACCCTCTCTGTGGGCACACAACCGTCGCCCCAGTCCTAGGCCTTCAGCTGGGTTTTATAAAACCTTTTCGCTTTAGGTTTCCACCGCCGTGTGCAAAAAAAAAAAAAAAAAGGTTCAATCAATCAGTCAATTTCAACTTCTCGCAGGAAAAAAAAAGATCTTGTAAAGTTGGAATTGACTGAACTTTTTAGACCCACCCAGTCTGCCATTACCACCGCATCCACGGCCAGCCAATGGTCCACACCGAGCCAATTGGCCATACCCAGCCAATGAGCCACACCCACCCGGCACCTGACGATGCAAAAGTGGGTTTTGGTTGCAGTTTGGGCACTCGGTCTCTAAAAGGTTCGCCATCACTGCCATATACCCTCTTTAAATACATTCAAGTTTCTTATGTTCTGCTAAAATATGTATTCCTTACAACAAATCACATAATAGCACTGTTCTAGCATCTGAACATCTAAAATTTCCCTATTTCTATGTCTAATAAGCATTCAATCAAATTACAAAGTTTGAATACTTGCACTCATTTTAACATATGTGTATAACTTGCAAGAGTTCATTATATTTTATTTATTCAATTTCTATGCTGTCCATCTCACTGATATAGTGACTGTAGGGACCTTACAATATTAGTTAAAAGGTACTAAAACAAACAATTAAATCACCAAATTGATGGGCAGCCTTGCGGTGAGAATCTTTTTTATTTTCTCTATTTTTTTTAGTAAAACATAGCCATCTGAGTCATTGATGAGTTGATTTTTGGATCCATACTCCTCACGACATCATGCAATGTATCTAATACTCATTTCAATTAATTCAGATTCTCAGCCAACAACATAGCATCATCTGCATATAAATTTGCATTGACACCCTAACCAAAAGACCTCTAATGACATCACAAGTATTCCTTATACATGTATTCATAGAGATGTTAGACGGAGACACCATACATCTTTTTCTTATTACACTCTGCTCAATGTCGAACCATTCACGAAATATCCCATTTACTCTTATGCTCTTTGTTGCTCTTATTGCATGTAGCAACTAATGTTCAATTCAACATTCATGCAAAAGATTGCATAACTCATTTTATCGTCTGCATTCATTCTTACTACCACTGGATGACCTGAAAGAACAGGGATAGATTGTTATGGGAAAAATCTGTGTGACTGCTAAGAGTTGACACCAATTTGATGGCACATAATCATTTCACTCTTGCTACCTTTCCTTTTGTATAAGAGAACAACAGTATAGCTTTTCCTATTATCAGACACAGATATAGTCCTCAAACACACACACTTAAATAAGTTTCATATCCAATTTATAAGCAGACCTCATCTATTTCTTCAATTACATCACCAACTTTAATATTCTCAGATATTACTGAGAATTGGATTTAATCCAATTCACTCTGCTATGAGCTTCTATTTTCAAAAAAAATATTCCCATCAAACATAGATCATGTATTTTAATACAGGGGTCCCCAACCCTGGTCCGTAGACCAGTACCGGGCCACAGCATGCCAGCAACTGGTCCGCACAAACAATCAAAGCTCCATCCACGGGATGCAGGCACCACACAAAACCATGCACCCTCTGCTCCACAGAAAAACCTTTCTTCACGAAACCGGTCCCCGGTGCCCAAAAGATTGGGGACCTCTGTTTTAATACAAAACCCTTAATTCTAGTTACTTACCAAATAATAAATATTTTCATTTAATCTTGGAACATTTTCTAAACTTTCTCCAGTCTATTCATGTCACCTAATAGAATAATTTTCCCCTTTGAATTGCATTAATTCAGAATGGCATACAATTTTTCAAAAACATTTTGATCGTCAATTAATATCATTGGTCACTAGAATGTAATATGCAACTGTCACTAGTGTATGGATTTTTATTTTCAAATGCACCAACAATATAGCGCCAACTGACACATTCTTATTCCTTTCATTTAAATTTACATCTACATGTTAATTTTGTTGTATTAATCTACTATGCATTACAAATTCAAATACTTTTCAGTAACTTCCCACTTTTCTCTTAGATTCACACACATACAACACAACTGTTTTCCTTTCTTTCCTTTCTCTTTTACTTCTCTTACCTTCCAATCTTCCATATATTAGTCATTACCAAATGGGCTTACAGATATTGCCTCTGCATATTATGGCATATTATTTCCGACCTTTATTTTTATAAATAACAAGATAGCTAACATACCTAATATTCTTTCCTCTTATTTTTCCCACAACCACCACCCTGTCAGGTGGGCTGGGATGTGAGAGGGACTTGCCTATTGTCACCTATTACCTGACTTTCGTGCCTAAGGCAGGACTAGAATTAATAATCTTCTGGTGTGTAGCCTGGTGCCTTAATTTTGTAACATCACAAGCATCTTCCATTATGCATTTGGATTTTGTTCAGATTCACAATCAAGACTTATACATCACTGTATTAATAACCCTTCTCACTCAAAAGGCCCCAAATTATTTCTCCTTCACTTATTCAACTTCCCACCACACTCCTCTTAATTACTTGAAGGATAAGGTCCCATTCCTTTGAGCACAAGATTGACTATCCATTCATACTTCCTAATTCTTACTTCCTAATTAAGGAATGGGGATTAAAAGAACAAATGAATGGATAGTCACTTCCTAACACTATTTCAAACCCTTTGAAAACGAGCCTCTTTCTTTTGATTACAACCTTCTAATCAATGTTCAATACCACCCTAAGACATTTGAAATGAACTTCTCCACAAACATCCTCTCTTTAGTCTAAAGAACCATCCACCCAAATTGTTGCTCTCCAGGAATGCTGGTTTTTAATTGCCATAATCCCATAAAGCATACACGTTAGGAGGCGATTATGTGAGTTGAAAGCAAACACAACTAGAGGCGTTGGGTGAGATTAAGACTGCCTTACACACACACCGTTCTTTCTTTTGTTAATTTACCATTTTGTCAAGCGAATACTAATCCACAATAAAAGCTACTGTTAAGACTTATCGCCCTCGTTCTCCTGCACATTACCAAGTTTTTCCTTCTCAGGACCCTCTTCCAACCCCTTGTTCGTCAACTTCAAAAGCCAAAGGATTTTCCCGGTTTGCCTTGTATTTTTAATCTCCCGGTCTTTGCAGAGGTTACTCGTTCCTAATCAAAACACACACTAGTCTTCCCAACAAATCTGTTCGGCCTCGTCCCTTTTCTCCTCACATCACAATCCCCACTCCCCACGTCGCTCCCTCCCCACTGGGGGAGCGAGGTCGCCCGTGTCTCCCCTCAGCCTCGGTGTCTGAGGAAAGTACATCTTCTCATCCTCTGGCCGGAAGAATGCCCGTCTTCTACGTTCCCCCGTTGCCCGCCCCAGTCCCTCTCACCCGCGGCCGCCCCCGAAGCTACTATAGGCCCGGTCGTCATAAGCATCGAAATCCGCCATTGCTGCCGCTCCTGCCGCCTCAGCCTCCCCCGAGCGCGAGCGAGCGCTGCAGGACCCCGCGCCGTTTATATAGCGGGCCAAACGGAGGGGCTGCCCGTCGTGCAGCCTGAAGTCGACGGTCTTTCTGCGCCTGCGCGTTGCGGACGGCGTCGAGAGTGCCCTCGGCGTTGCCTGATTGAAAAGAGATGGGAAAGAGAGTGAGACATAAGTAACCTCATGAGACAGGAAGAGGTTTTCATTTTGAAACTCACCCAAGGCGTGGAGAGGTAGAGCACATGTTGGGGCTTGAGGTCTAATATAAGCTTTTCCCAGTTACCTGATCTAATTTAGAAAGCAGTGTAGACAGAGGGGGGGGGGGGAAGGAAACAACGTATTATTATTATTATTATTATTATTATTATTATTATTATTATTATTATTATTATTATTATTATTATTATTATTATTGCCAATCAAGGGCCAATAAAACACATTTTCCATAAAGTGTCTCGTTTCCCAGATTAAAATGCACAGGCACAAGATCAAGAAATAGGAATGTGTGTGTTACTGAACTGCCTCTGATTACATCTACTTATGTGTTACCATTGTTCTATGCTATTTTGTTGCCTTCTCTTATTTATTCATAAAACATATCTCCTGTTTTCATCGTTAAAAACGAGGAAAATTCAATACAGGAATAACTTCAATACTGTACAGCAATAACTGTACAGTGATTGAAAAGAGAAAAGGAAAGAAAAACACCACCACCAAAATTATACACAAAAAAGCTGAAGATGTTACCCTCTTGGCTTGAAAAAAATGTGATCTCACTGTGTCACTGTATTTTGTGTTATTATATTTGTGCTTCTGCCTCATCAATTAATTAGGTTTGAGGGTATACCTTAGTTTTGCATATAAAGTGACATCTAAAGTTCAGAAGGATGGGGAAAATATTTTAGTCCCTGAAATTCTGCTGTCAGTCAAAGTGAACAACAATAGCTAGACTTAAAATGTATTCTTTTTCTACAGGAATGTTTCTCAGGATTGTGGCACAGAAGTATTGTCCTTTTCCAACAAATGTTAGGATTTCTTGTCACGCAGGCCAATTCTATGTTTGTTTTCAGCATGATCCCCTGGGGCAGTTTTTGCCCATTGCTCAGGTTTTCAAAAGTTGGGCAGCCATTTATCTTGGATGATCTGAGGATACCTGCTATTGTTTTGGAAGTCCCTGAAGACCTGGTTATGTCAGCAGGCTTGGGGATCCCATGGAATCGGAGGCATTCTAAGATGGCTCCACTATGATTGATATTATTACACTTTCAGTGTGGTTTGTATACAATATTTTAATGTTAATAATAATGATTTTAAAAATATTTTGTTATTGTTTTTATGGTTTTATTCGATTGTTGTACGCCACGCAGAGTCCATTTTTGTGAGATGGATGGCTATATAAATGTAATTAATAAATTACCAAAAATAAATACCTGCCTGGGGTTGGGGGTTGGATTAAAAAAATCTCCAAGGCCCTTCCCAGTCTTGTGATTTCATGAGGTAATGCTTCTTTGGCGTATATACAGGTAATCCTGGACTTACAATAGTTCATTTAGTAACAGTTCAAAGTTACAACAGCACTGAAAAAGTGACTTATGACTGCTTTTGAGGCAGTAAACATTCATATAGAGCAAAGAAGCACTAATTTGATTGTCTGATTGGAGCACTGAATTTCCTTTTATATAACACATTTTTACTTAAGTTGCCAGCTATACTATTGTATAATTTATCTTTTTTCAACAGTAAATGTTTGCTTGTTTTAATATTTAACAATATTCAAGGGGTTGAATATTTTTTCTTTTTTAAAAAAATAGTTTGTCCTTTGTTATAGGGTCTTGAGGAACAACCTGCCTCCAGAAGCGGTGAATGCACCAACACTGGAAGTTTTTAAGAAGAAACTGGACAGCCATTTGTCCAAAATGGTATAAGGTTTCCTGCCTGAGCAGGGGGTTGGACTAGATGACCTCCAAGGTCCCTTCCAACTTTATCATCATTATTATTATTATTATTAAATGATGAATGGCTAAGAGAACTAGGTATGTTTAGTCTAATAAACAGAAGGCTCAGAGAGGACATGATAATAGTCTTCCAATAATTGAAGGAAGAGGATGTCTAGAAGACTGGACTAGAAGACCTCCAAGGTCCCTTCCAGCCCTATGATTCTATGAAATTTTCTAAGAAGCAAAGTCATGAATTCTCTAGGTCACATCTCTATGCTATATGGTCAAAACATCACATTATAGAACTTTTGGTCCTTTTAATTGCCTTTATCTCACATCCTGGAATTAGGCAGTGAATGTCAGGTAAGGAGATAGCAGGTTGCAGGATGAATTATCAAGTCATATCCCAAAGTGAGAGGTGAGGTTGGATGTGAAGACTAAGAGGGTTTTTAGAGAAGAGCTTTGAGATCTTCAGCCTTTCACCTTATAGGTTCAGCCATCTGCTACACAACAAACCCTAACTCAGGTCATGGTTGTCCCAAAGGCGCTTTTTCAAGAGGCAACTGCACTTTCTTTGTTTTTCCTTGAAGACATTTCAAGAAGTTCAAGCAGCTGAAGAAGCTTCTTGGATGAGAAGCGAAATGTCTTTAAAAAAACCAACAAAAAAAATTGAGTTGCCTCTTGAAAAAACACCTTTGGGACAACCATGACCTGGATGACTGAGAATCTCTGTAGACACTAATCCTAATTGTATTGCACTACAAACATGTTGAACCAATAGATCTGCACTGTTGCTGAAACATAGCAGCTGTTTTGAGCTTGTCTATGGAGGAAGGTATGAGTCGCATTGTGCTGGTGATGGCTTGTTTAATTATGGTTTATTTAATAAACTACAATTTGTGAATTCACGTACACTAACGCCTTAAAAAAAGCCTATACAAATTGCAAAAACATGTTTATTTCACCCATCATGGTGAGACTAATAATTTTACTGCTTAATGAGTTATACAGTATAATGACTATTTGAATAAGACAGATTTTTAAACTTTTTGAAGAAGGGTTGACATGAAATCATCCTTGAGACAGTTTTATTAGCCCTCTGCTCTTAAATAAAGAACTGGGTACCTTTTAATTCTTTCTCCTTTTGATTTTACTCACGGTTTTTAACTCCTTCAACAGTTTCTTTGTTTTCCTCTATCATAAACCAGGCATATCTATAAACAAATGCTGAAATAGCCTGGAAACCAGGAGACTGTGAGTTCCAGGTGGCATGAATGCTTTTTGGATGACTTGGGGCCAGTCCCTCTCTCATTTCAACCCTTCTTACCGGGTTGTGGGGGGAAAAAAGGAGGAGGAAGGGGTATTGGGTGTGTTTGTTGCCTTGAATTAAATATAAAATGTTAGGATAAAAACATTTAATAATAATAGGTATTACCTTGTGGGATTTGCATGTTCTGAGGAGGATGCCAGATGTTCATCATACTGGATAGATGAACATCTGAAGAATCTCTCTCCCATAAATATAGTGAGACACAATATACAGAAACCATACTAGATTGGTCATTGCTCAGGTCAGCAAACTACTAAAGAAGCTGTCATGATTCCGATAGATGAAACCCATTAAAGAACTTCAAGGCAAGAATTCTTCCTTAAAGAACATTTTATTCAGGAAACAAAGTATCAGCACTATATAGTTGAGCCCAAAACTAAATTCCCTTTCCCCAGATACAAAGTAACAAGTTGCAATTCCCATCCCCGTAAGGCAGTCATAAATCACATTCCCCAATTAGCAAGAAGCGTGGGCTCTCATCCAATTCCTCAGCCCGCCAAAATGCTATCAGGTTTGTGTCCTTCAATTCCCACCAAGCTGCATCACCAATGGGTCATTCTCCCCTTCGTCGCTGTCATAGGAAGGCAGAGCAGTGGTAGGTCCAGCTTGGGCCTTGGCGCTTTCCTGCATGGGTGACGTGACCTGGATAATGGGTTCTTGCGGGATCCAGCTCGACTTTTCCTTTGCTGGCTGTTGGGCTGGTTTCTTCCTCCCCGGTGGTCCCAGTCTACCTCCCTGTTGGGGATATGGGACCAGACAATTCGCCGCTCGATGTCCCTGTTGTCCACATCTGAAGCATTTGATTGGCGGGTCAGCAGGTGGCTTGGGTGGTTCCGCGGCCGCAATGGCTGGGTGGTCTGCATGGAGGCGGCCACCTGATCTGCTCTGGTGTCGGTCTGGCTTCTGGGGGAGTCATATTCTTGTAACGAGCAAGCTCGATGTCTAGTCTCACTGCCACCTGGTACCACTCTTGCAGTTGATCAGGGACTGCCTGGTAGATGCAGGCCTGGGAAAGATGAGTCCCTGAGTCCCATGGGGAGAAGGGCGGCATATAAATTTAAATATAAATAAATAAATAAATAAATCTAGCCCCTCCTTGAAGTGATGCACTAGGGACTGCTCGGGCCACCTTTCAATCTGACCTGCCACCTTGCAAAATTCTCGCACGTATTCCAATGCAGGTCTACCACCCTGCTTTATCTTATGTATTTGTTTCTCGGCTTTGAGGGCTATAGATTGGTCCTTGAACCTGATCCTCAATCCTAGGAGGAAGAGATGAAGGTTTACCAGTTTGGGCGCTTGCTCGTTGTACAGATTGTTTAGCCACTCAGATGCTTCCCTTCTAGATTTTCTGCGATGTCAACCATGGCAGCTGGATCCAGGTAAAAGTTGGCATAATAATAATAATAATAATAATAATAATAATAATAATAATAATAATAATAATAATAATAATAATAATAATAATAATAATAATAATAGTAAAGTTGGAAGGGACCTTGGAGGTCTTCTAGTCCAGCCCCCTGCTCAGGCAGGAAACCCTACACAATTTCGGACAATTGGCTGTCCAGTCTCTTAAAAACTTCCAGTGTTGGAGCATTCACCGTTTCTGGAGGCAGGTTGTTCCACTGGTTAATTGTTCTCACTGTCAGGAAGTTTCTCCTTAGTTCTAGGTTGCTTCTCTCCTTGATTAGTTTCCACCCGTTGCTTCTTGTCCTGCCTTCAGGCGTTTTGGAAAATAGCTTGACTCCCTCTTTG